TCCCAAGTGCTAGGATTGCAGGCATGCACCAGCACATAATGTTGGAATGGGAGGGTTTACCCTGTGTCTTTGTATGTCAGCAGTGTTTAGCTTTCTTTTAATATTTACAGGGCACAAACTCACAACTGAGTTTGCTTTAACTCTCAGGCTAAACTCTGGACTTGGACTTTTCAGCAATGCTGAAACTACTAGAATGTAAGCATGTCCATCTTATAGAAGGACTAAATGAATTTTGTATAAAAGAATAGTGCTATGATTTATATCTAGATGGCCCCCAAAGCCTCACGTGCTCATAGGTAGAACTTTTGGAAGGTGACTGGATCAAGTGTGTGATACTCATATTGGATTAGTCCACTGATGGGTTTGTAGCTGAGTGCAGTGTTGGGAAGTGAAACCTGGTGGGAAAAGGTGAGTGTGAGCATGGTCAGGAACTATACATATCCCTCCTCCTTCCTTGATTTCTCTCTGCTTCCTGCCTACCTTCCCATGAGCTATTTCTCCTCTGCCATGCCCCTCTACCACAGTGCCCTGCTAGTCACCTATAGACTGAAACCTCAATAAACCATAAGCTACCAAAACCCCCAATGAGGGTTCAGTCTCCCACCAAGCAATGTGGCACATGGATGAAGAAAGACGAAGACAGATCTGCAGTTTCAAAGGGATCTGGGATGAGCAATTGCTCTCAATGGAACAAAGGACTAAGAGTTACAGTGACCACAGCTTTTATTGCTTATGTCACCAGCAAGAAAGTAGAGTAAAGGTTGTGACTGGGTGCTCAGGGAAAATAACTTTTGCAGGCCTGGCTTGTAAAGGCGGGACAAAGCACTCTTGCATCAGGCACAGAGGCTCCCCAGTTAGACAGTGACTTAATGAATAACTTGATGTTTGGAAAGCCAGCACTTCTACTGCTGGGAAGGTATACTGGAGCCTCATTTCCTCAGCAGAGATGTTATTTCGTGTCTTAGCCCTAGAATTTCACAGGGTCTTGCTCAAGCATCATTCCAGCCATCAACAGGGGGTTGTGGTGGCAATTCTTGCCCACATGATGCTGCTTTGCTGTGATGAGACACAGTGGTGCCTCGGCCAGACTTGATCACATTCTTTTAGCCAATTAAGGGAACATTCACCCCTATATAGCTAGCTCTGCACAACTCAGCAAATAGGGCTGAAGTAAAGGTCAGGTAAAGATGGAGGCAAGGGGATTCATTTCTCAGGGGAATGTGGCTTGGTGTTCCCCCACAGTGAGCCAAAACAAACCTCTCCCCCTTTAAGTTTTGGTGTTGAGTGCTATGTGTCAGTAAAGAGAAAGTAGCCAAGACACTTCCCATTTCTATCTACACCTAAAATGTTCTTATCTCCACGTTAAGGCTAAGGTGTTGCTATCCCTGCTTTCCAGGAATTAGGAAAGTGCTATGCTTTGGGGTGTCCTCCAGAATACACATGTTGCAAACTTAAACCCCAAAGTTATGTTAATGATATTTGGGGCCTTTTGAGGTAATTAGGATCTGAAGAGTTTGTGAGAGAGGGATCCCCATGACACAGTTAATGGCTTTATAAGAAGAAGAAGAGAGACTAAGCGAATAAGCTTGCTCTGCTTTGCCATGGGATGTTCTGTACTGCCTTGGGACTCTGCTAAGTCTGTCATTGAGAAGGTCCTCAGCAGATGCAGCTTCTACTTTTTAAAATTTATTTTAAAAATAAAAGAAGGAAAACATATTAACAAACAGACATCTATTAACAAAATAGCATAAGAACAATACAAGCAATACTGAATCACAGACAAAATGGTAGGAAATTAACAACGGTTATTGTATTACATATTTTTTTTTGTTTTGTTTTGTTTTTTTGGTTTTTTTGGTTTTTGGTTTTTCTCTGGCACCGGGAACCGAACTCACGACCTTGCACTTGCCAGGCAGGTGCTTTGCCGCTGAGCTAAATCCCCAGCACCTGTATTACATATTGATATCTTCAAAGTGGTTTCTCAAGAAAACAAATAGAGATGTGCAAGATTGATCAAATAATTGATCATTGAGTGATCCTGCGGCTTCTAGATCTTGGACTTTACAGCCTCCAGAGCTATAATAAAGGAACAAAATTTCTTTTCTTCATAAATCACTCACTTAATAATATTTGGTTTTTTAAAAAATTTATTTAAAAAAGTAAAAAAAGGATAACATAGTAATAGGAGGATTTACCGAATTACAGAGCGGTAGGACATTATCAGTGGTTGTTATTTTACCTATTGGTATCTTCAAGATAGTTTCTCAGGAAAGCAAATAGACAAATAATAGTGAGTTACAGACAAAAATGGTAGGAAATTATCAATGGTTGTTGTACTATACTTTGGTTTCTTCAAAGTGGTTTTTAGGGAAAACAAATAAAGCTACACATGAGTGATCAATTAAATAATCATTGACTAGTCTCAATGGTTGTTGTTGAAAACACATAATAATAAACATACATCCATTTACAAAATAGCATAGGAACAATAAAAACATTACAGAGTTATGGACAGACTGGTAGGAAATTATCAATGGCTGCTGTAATACATGGTGGTATCTTCAAAGTGGTTTCTCAGGAAAACAAAGATATGCAAGAAAGAGCTAACAAGTAGTTACAGCCCAAGGGTTGTGAAAAATTGCAGATTACCTCCTCATCAGTGACTCTTTTCACTGAGGTGTGACAGTTGGAAGGAAGGCCAGGATTGAAAAGAAGGACCGAGAGACTAGCATAGTGTCCAGCAATAGGCTGTTTACTTTTCCTCTATAGTCATGATTACGTGGGGCTCCTCCTTGAAAATAACAGTCTGGCCAGAGGGAGAAGGCAGAGTATGCCCTGGGCCCCTTCATTCCTGTTGGACCAGCTGGTAGGAGGGGTCTGAGCACTGGGGTCTGAACACTGGGGCCTTCACTTCAGAGGGCAGTCCAACCTCTAGTGGTCACCTTTATAGTCAGAGCATGGCCCAGGGGCTTCTTAGGGCAGTCCTTCTTGAGATGGCCAGGCTTTTGATGGCAGTAGCAGATGAATGTAGTCGACGAGTTCTTCTTGGGGCCCTGAGAATCAGACTTAGGGTCTGTTTCTGTTAGTGCTGCAGCAAAGGCAGCTGTTTTTTCTCCATCTCTTTGTTTTCTCTCCTTGGCCTCCTCCTCCTCATGGCTATAAAAAACTAAGGAGGCAATTCTTACTAACATCTCAAGTGAGCTATCTGGGGCAAAAGCCATTTTTTGTAGCTTTTTTCTACTATTTGGGGCTGACTGAGTAATAAACTTATCTTTAAGAATAGTTTGTCCCTCTACTGTATGTTTATTACTATGTGTTCTCAACAACAACCACTGAGACTAGTCAATGATTATTTAATTGATCACTCATGTATAGCTCTATGGGTTTTCCCTAGAAACCACTTTGAAGAAACCAAAGTGTAGTACAACAGCCATTGATAATTTCCTACCATTTTTGTCTGTAACCAGGGACCCAGGGAAGTATGCTTTATCAATGCCTTTTGTCTAAGAAAGCAGAGAGGTGTTCTCTCCAACCACCAAGCACATTGGGATCCCGTAACCACTTAGTATCCTCTCCCCAGCTGTCAACACAGGCGGCAGGAACATGTGGATGAAGTCCTCAGCCCACTAGTCAGTCTCAGCACCATCAGGTGCAAAGTGTCCCAGGCAAGTAACCTAGACACGTACCTTCTCCATGAAGGCAGTTCTTCAAAATCTGAATATTGGGCACCCATGTAATACATGAAGTCTCGGTGCAGACCTCTCCAGAGCTCCACTTAGTTCTCCACCACAGCTTGTACAGTCAGGGGAAGAATGGCTTCCAGGGGGGTCTCCCCAGGTATTGTGCAAGGTCCTCCTGGTTTCCAGCTCCCAAATAGCTCCTATGTCCCCAGTCAGCTCGACCTCTGAGTCATTGGGCGTCAGTACTCTCATGTTCTCTGAGTCCTTGTTCATCAGCTGCTCCTCCTCTGACTCTGGACCTTTCTGGCTCTCAATGGTAGGGCCAAGAGTGACCCACTGTGTGGCATGTTTTCCCAGAGGTCTCTCCACATCAGGATTGTTCGTGCATGTCTCTGGGTGGGCCTATTGTGTCAGTGCTTCTCTATGGCATGGTGTTTCTTGGGCAGCAGCCGCCCCAAGGGCCGGCACACATCTCCATGCTGCTTCCCGGGTGCCTGCTGCCTGCCTTTCCAGGGACCTGTGTGGCCGGGTGCGCCGGGCCCCAAAGGGCCAGCACTCCCCAGCCACACGGCCTCCAGGCGCTGGCTCCTGTGGCCTGCCTGCCTCCCTGGGCACCTGCACGGCCAGGTGTGCCAGACCCCAAAGGCAATAATATTTGGTTATGGTAGCAATAAACATACTAAAACAGAAAGGGAGAAGAAATCCAAGGTAAGCAGCTTGGTTGCACACATCAAGTTTATTCACATCTATTGGCCCAAACTTGGTCATATAGTCACATCTCTTAAGAGCATCTGGGAAATACACTTATGGCATAAGATTAGGAGTTTTCATTATAGTGTCCCTGCCTCTGCTCCATCCTGTGTATTGAGCAAGGGGTAAAGATACCTTGCCTTTAGTTTATAGATCCCTGAAACACAAAGATTCACATACAGGCCCAAGGAAGAGAAATGTACATTACTCCTCTGTGATTTTGGCTATCTAGCTAGGTATGAATTTTGTAATCCTTGAGGACAGAGTGAATGTCTTCATATTTGAGAAGAAAATAAAACCAATATTTGGTGGCTCAAGGAATGGACTGATGCAGATAGGATCAATATTTATGCTTTCTCTTCAACATTGTACAGCTGTTGCTGTCCTGCCAGGAACTGCACATCTGCTTCTACTTTCATCCTCCCAACTAATTCCCAGCAGTACAATGTATTCAGATACAGTGGTTGTTATGTCTGAGGCAAGGAAGGTAAGAAATGTGTGCTTTCTCTACATCCTCTTCATTGTCTGCTGGATGGGTACAGACTACTCTCAAATCCTACATGATAGCACATCACAAGATGAAAGGAAATGGAGCCCTAAATCTCCAACCAGGAATCCGCTGGCCCACAAGAAACACCTGTATTGAGCTACTATATGAGTGAAAACAGATTTCTTTTACTATGTTAGGTCAAGCTATAATAATGTGGTTTTTATTGGTTATATTAGCTAGCATAAACTTAACAAACATATGGATTTTATTGACTTATTGACTTACTTAAAAAAAAGTTTTGCTCTGTAATCCAGGCTAGCCTTGGACTCTTGTACTCAAGTCATCCTCTTGCCTCAGCCCTCCAGGTGACTGGGACTGAAGATGCATACCACCATGTCCAGCTTATTCATTTACTTTTCACATTGTTTGTGTCCTCTCCATGATATAAGTTCCAAGAGATCAAAGTCTGTGTCTATTCATTGCTATGTTCCCAGTGCCAAGGGCAATGTTCAGCACATAGGGGCTGGCTGGTCAATAAATACTGATGAGTGAAGGATAAGTGAATACTGAATTATTCCCTGAAGAGGGATGAGTTTTGCCAAGTCACATGTGCTCTTGCTGGCTGAGACAGATATCACGGGTCTGTGAATCAGAGCTAGAAGGTGTGTTTTCTCAGAGCATGGATAACTGTTCTTTGCTAAAGCATCAATATAACAACTGAGGGTAAAAGTTAACTTGTGGTCATAGTTCATTTGCTTATTCACTCATCCATTCATTAATTCATTACAGAAATATGTGTACTGGGCCTACTATGTAGCAGGCTCTCTGTTAGGTGTGGCTATATGGGTATACATAGGATCAGCATGTAGCCATAGTTACAGACAATCTATAATTGTATTTAGTTAAGTAGGAGGAGCTCTGCATTTGGTAAATAATTGTTACGGGTGTCAAGTGAGAAAGAGAAGAAAGCATGGGTGGTATGGTAAGCTTGTTCTGGCATAGGATATGCATCTCAGAACAGTATTAAAAATGGAGGACTCTGGAGCAATACTAGATGGCCAGCCCAGTAATTTGTAGACCAATAGGTGAGAGTGGGAGAGAGAAGTAAGGAAAAAGTCACTGTCCTTATCAGACATGTTAGGACACTGTATGTTCCACTTGGGGTATGTGCATGGGGGTGGGGTATTCACATTTTGCATTTTGTCCAATTACATCATGATGATTAAAAGACTCTGAAAATTATAAATTGAAAAAGAAATTTTGAGTTTTACTAATGGCCAAAAGATATAAGGAAGAGTGTTTTGGGTCAGTAGTATGAAACACTTGTGATTGATAGCTGCCTAAGGGTGGAATGTCTTGTCCCTTGGACTAGTGGGTTACAGTATTAGTCATGACCATTTCCCAAGATTCTTAACATTATTAAGGCAGAGGAAGGACTCTCAAGGAGGTCTAGGCATGGGCTTATGGGCAAGCAATGCCATGAAGCCATAAACTGTATTCACATTTTGAGTATGTACAAGTTCCTGGGGAAGAGCCATGATTTTCTTCAGATTTTAAAAAGGTCTATGACTTAGAAAAGGTAAAGAATAAGAGAGACATTTACTATCAGATGCAAATTGGTTGGGCACATTATTCCATACAGAAAAATTTAAGGACTGGGCATTATTGTGTGTTCGTGCGTAAAACACTGGGCATTATTTTGTGTTCGTGTGCTACCTCCAAAGTTGAGGGGTCAAGAAGAATCACAGTATTTTGTCCATGCTTATGTCGTTTCTTTAAGATACTGGCTCAGCTCCTCCATTCCTGGCTTGGGACTGGATACTTGGAAATGGAAGCCACCCTTTTCTTTTCTCATGTTAATTTTCCAGCAAAATTATGACAAATAATTTGAAAATTTTAAATAAACAGCAAAAGTCTTGTATTCATGCCAAATGGTCTTGATTATCTAGATAGATAGGAAATAAAAAGAAAACACTGGTCATACAGGCCGGGCATGGCAGTGCATGCATTTAATCCCAGCACTCAAGAGCCTGAGGCAGGAGGATCACTGAGAGTTTGAGGCCAGCCTAGGGTACAAAGCTAGTTCAAGGCCAGCCTAAACTGCATAGTGAAACCCTGTCTCAATACCACCCCCCAAAAAACCAAAAAAATAAAAACAAAATAACCACTAGTCATTATCTGGGTATATATGAAATTTTAAAAAGTGCTGGTCATGCCAATATAGTCTACTATGACAAAGAGGCCCCAATAGAGAAGCTTAACTAAGATAACAGTTTATTTCTCTCTCACATAAAATTCTTGAGGAAGTGGGTGATCCAGAGCTAGTAGGGTGGTTTTGTCTATGAGGTCATCTAGGTGTCAGGCTCCTTCTACCTTGTTGTCCTACAGTCTTCAACATAATTTTTAGTTAATGATCTAAACTAGCAGCCCTAGCTCCTGCTACCATATCTGCCTCCAAGAAGGTACAAAAAGGATAAAAAGGAAAGGGAGGATATATGTATATCTTTCTTTTTGAAGATATTAGACAGAAATTGTACACAACACTATTGCTCAGAGCTCTGCCCAAAACCTAGGCCCATGATGTATCTCATTGAAAGGGAGATGGGATAATATGGTCTGTAGTTGGCAATCATGAACTCAGCTAAAGTTCTATTTCTGTAGGAATGGGCACAGGATGTGGGGGGGATGTTGTATAGCCTCTGCTGCCAATAGTCTATCATTTAAACTTGGATGGGGGTAGGTCTTTTAAAATAAAAATAGTATCTGGGATAGTTCTGACCATGAAGAGTTCATAACATTTTTGGTTCAGTAATAAAGAAACATCCACATTTCTAGCAGGTCATATAGATTAATTTATAAAGGAACTATCCAAGCCCATCACAATTATTATTTCTGTGAGTTCAGGAATGCTTTAAGCCTTCATGACCATAGCCACTGTTATTGCATAACCTCTTGGTTAGCCCTATTGGACACTCAAACCCTGGCCATAGGCTACCAATAAAATCAGGGGAGCAGGGAAATCTTCCCCATGTAGATGGTGGTCTTCCATAATTGTGCATATGGACAGAGGAGACAAAGGAATGTAGGAGCTGTATCAGAGTTCTGTGAATCTGACAGGTGTTTTTATAAGAGATATTTGGTACCATTGCCCTTGAAAGCTAAATGCTTTCTATCCCCTTATATCCCTTGGCAACATACAGGCTTTATTAAACCCAGGATGAACATTGGATTTCCTATCTGGTTAACAAAATTCTTGGTCCTGCAGCCACCTCCCTCCTCACACTAAGCCTTGGTCCTTAGTAGAGCTTTCAGGTGCTTACAAGGCTTTCACCATAGAACTTCCCAATAATCAAGATGTGCAGCATGACAAAGCACTGGTGAACACTTGCAGAGAGTATTATGTAAACGTTCCTATGGTTGATTGGATAGCCCTGGTTAGTCTTCACAAATCTTGGATTTTCCCCCTTCACTCACACTGTACTCCCAAACAATTAAGAAGTTATACATTATGTTCTGTCAAAGGTCATCAACATCTTCTTCACATCCATTTCCCTTCAACTCCACTGCCACCACACTTGGAAAGCACTATCATCTCTTACTGGCACTATTGCAAGAGTCCTATGCCCTTTATTTCTGCTCTCACACATGCTCTCTCGAATCTATTCATTCTCCATATAACAGATGCAAAACTTTCTGAAAATGCAATTCATCCCAAGTCCCACCTCTGGGGGAAGATCTTCAAAGGGGTCCTCTTGTACTTCAAAACAAGTCTAAAGTTCTCATTAGGCTCCAGTGAGTGATAAATCTGAAAATTATTAAGAAATTCCCACTCAGACACTACAAGAGTGGGTAGCACCAGAAAATATGTATAATCTTTTGTAATGATGCAAATAGAGACATTCTTATCCAAGACTCAAAACTCAGTAACCATAGGAAAAGTGTGCATATATCTTCATAAAAATTATAAAGTTCCATATGATAAAAACCCATCTTAGATACAGTTTAAAAAAGCAAAATAATCTGAAACACTATAAAGAAAAGTTATAAGCAAGAATTATTCTTGCTTTGTATGACCTTTGATAAACATACTTGAATAAGATAGTATCATGGTAAACAAAATAATGTACAGAGATATCACAGAAAGCAAATTGAAGATAAACATAAATGACCAATAAGCACATTTAAAAAATTACAAATAACTTAAATATCCCATACAGTGGTTAACAATTATAGAACATCTAATTTACAGAAAACTATAAACCCATCAAAAGGAATGAGATGAATTTTTACTAAGTGAAAAAAAGTGAGAACAATATGGATATGGTCCCATTTATTAAAAAATACACACATCTATATGTTGATGTAAAATGTATATGAAAAAAATCTCAAAGAATGCACACCAAATTATTTCATTTTTAGGAAAGTTTGTAGGATTGGTCAGGTGGTGTTGTGCGGCACAGCTGAAGTGGAATTTTTAATTTTATTCAACACGCTCTTCCAGCCCTGAAACTTTTTTTTTATAAAGACAATAAAAAAAACCAGTAATACAATAACAACAACATAGACAAAAACAGAACAAATCAAAAACAATAAAAATGATAAAGGGTTTCAAAACAAAACAATAGGAATTAATAGTGGTTGTTATATTACATATTATCTTCAACAATGTTGAACAGATTATGAGATGTAAGAATGCAATCTTGATCAAACCATTAAAGAGAATAAAAAATACCAATAAAAACACATTAGAAATGATACAGAGCTTCACTAAACAAGATGGTAGGAATTCACCAGTGGTTATTATATTGCATATTGTTGTCTTCAAATTAGTTCCTCAGATTACCAGATATAAGCA